AGACTCCTACTTGAAATGAATTTTGTATCAGATATAAGGGAATTCTTTTTTTTTACATATTGATAGATGGGGTGGGTCTATTATATTTTAATGACTAGTCCCATCTTTTCTCCACTGATTTGAAGTGCCATTACTATTGTATGCTAAATCTGTCTTCACCTGAGAACTGTTTCTGATCCTCACTATGTGCGAATAATCTTTATTTCTGGTCATAGCCACCTTGTATCAATTTCTGCTTAATATCAGGAAATATAATTTTAGAATGGGTAATAATTTATTTTTCTGACTGTATTCTATAAAGAATGTTATATCATTGCTTTTATATTTCAGATTTGTGTTGTATCTAGAAATCAAATTGAAAGCTATTTTTAATTCTGAAGAAATATTTTTATAAATATGAAATTTGAGTCTAGATTTAAGGTTTTAGGTTACCATCAAATGGTTGAGAAATGGGCTTACATGTAATTATTTCTATAGCCAAAGAATGTTTTAAATTAACAATTTAATTTCTCACAATCTTTATCTCTCTTGCCTTGTGACTCAGTTACTGAGATTACTTAAGATTATAAGGCTATATGGAAAGTAAAGGTTGTATACTTTCTGCTTTGTTGTATACCTGAGTATATACATTTACCTGTTCTCTCACAGACATTTCTTAAGCTGATTCAAGGTACTTGTCTCTATTCTAAAGACATATAGATTACAGTAAGTGAGAAAGGAAGGTCATTTTTATTCTCCTTCAGAGAGAAGCATAATTATACTCTTTAAACATTGCTTATGACTAAAAATGATAAAAAATAGTTAAAAGAAAGAAGTAATTCACAGGATCTGTTACCCTGCAGCATTACCAGTTAAGGAGTTACTATGAGGATCTTTGGAACTCATAAGCATCCTTCAAAAATGAAGAAATCAGAGATAAAAATGATGATACTGGTCAATATTACTTAGCAAATTTGGGGGTAGAAATTTAACCCTAAATGCATTGTCTTCCTCTGTACATGGCTTTGAAGTAAATAAATACATGTTTTCATTTTAATGTTAATTTCTGCAGCTGGTTTCATTTAAAAATATTTAGAGGCCTCCCTGATAGCCTAGGGATTAAGTCCCAGTGCTGTCACCATGATGGCATGGCTTCAGTCCACACTCAGGATGCTGACTCACATGGTGCAGCGACCTCTCCTGTTTTGCCTTAACAGTGTATTTCAGGTCTGCTCCCCACTCTGTCTCTGATGAATCCTCTCACCCCCTTGCATCTCTGGCCTGCATGCTAGTTCTATGCAGAAATAAATAAAATCTAAAAAAAAAATTGACTTTTCTATTGACTTATATCAGTTCTTTGGATAGATTGTTTATATGCATCAGTAATTTCTTGGATTTCTATTTGAAGCTTAATGACTGAGCTAAGGGATTATCTTCAACAGTGTTTGCTATTTATTATAGGGGTTGATTTGTCCAAGATAGAAAAACATCCTGATGCGGCCAACCACATCTTAAGACTGGATTTTGAAAAAGACATTAAGCAAATACTCCTGTTTCTTAAAGATTTGGGTATAGAGGATAACCAACTGGGAGCATTCCTGACTAAAAACTATGCTATTTTCTCCGAAGACCTTGAAAATCTTAAAACCAGGTACAACTTTCAGAATGATTCTCATATCTCCCAAGTAGTTATGAAGGAAATATATGTACATTTAAATTTAACTTTATTTTCAGGAAAGTAAATAAGTTTTTAAAAATAATCTATTAATAAATGACTAAGTAATCGAGTTCTCTAAGTTGGGCACTTTAGTTCCTTTTTTTTTTTTTCTTAACAGTTTAAACATTTGTACTTCATTTGAAATTCAAAGAATATATTGATACCATAAGAATTAAGACAGTGAGATTAGCGTTAATCCATGGGTAAGAATCCTGCTAGGCATTCAGATTGCCACAGAGGACAAGACAGAGTCCCTGTTTTTGGTTCACCCTCACCTCTTACCCAAATCAGAACTTGCCTGTATTCCCAGGTGCCCTGAATGGGAACACTTTCACCCTGTTGTCCTGGTCAGAAATATGGTTATTAGCTTTGGCTTCTTTCTTCTTGGCATCCACACCTAATACATTACTAAGACCTATTAGTTTTGTCATTTTATATCTGTCAAATCACCCATTGCCCTTCATTTACTCTTCATTGTGAATGCCTCACCTCAGATTCTCATCACTTCACACTCCAGCAGGCTGCATTCTTAGTCTTTTTCCCCTGGGCTGTTTCAAACTGATTTTGAGCCTCATCATATATCAAAGAGTGAATGTTTTCTAAATTAGGAAAAAGTACAAAATTTCATGAACTAGAATTGAGCCCTTTCTTTTCATTGGACTTACATTTGCTATAGTATAAACAGGCTGTACAATACTGGGGAGAGAGAATGGTTCCAAGACACTCAGTCTGACAGGGCTCTCCCTGATAGCACAAGGGATTAAAGACAGTGCTGTCAAGCTGTCACCAGCCACTGCAGTACCACTGCAGTACAAGTTCGATCCGCAGCAAGGGAGCTGACTCACATGGCATAGCAGTCCCTTCCTGTCTCACCTGCTGCTCCCTCAGCAGCATATTTCAGTAGATCTGCCTGCTCTGCACCCCACTCTGTCTCTGGTGAACCCTCTCAGTTCACACCTCTGGCCTGCACCCCAGTTCTATGTAAAAATAAATGAAATCGTTAAAAAAAAAAAAAAAAAAATCTGACATATCCAGCTCTGCTCTTCCTAATTACCATTTTTTCTCTTATGACCTTGAAAGAATAGCTTTAAAGGAGTAATAATCATTGGAGTATAACCTGTAACTTCTGATATGCATGGTGTAGAAATGCCGTAACTATTAAATATCAGAAAACCTGAGTTCAAATCACAATTCTATTATTAATTACCTTACAGTTTTTTGTTTGGTTGGTTTTTTTGGGGGGGAGGGTAGTTGTTCTGATGAAAATTAAGGTAATCTGTTGTTTTCAGGTTTTAATAAAACTGCTATTTACTATGTTTATAAATTAAATAAAATCACTGGTATTTTATTACTTTATTTTGACTCCCAAGAATTGCAGGAATTTTTCAGTTGTTAACAAAATACATACTGAAAGATTGAAATAAAAATTAATTATAAAAATACAACGAAAATAAAAAAAACCCTCAGTTTTAACCACTCTTGAGTCTTTTGTAAGAATGTGAAATGTCTCATTTTCTTAATTTGTAAGGTATATTTTTGTTTTCTGCAAAAAAATATTCTTAGTATTTTAGTGTTTTCTGCCACATAACAAATCAGGTTAACTGTAAAGGGAATCTGTTGCTGGATTTTGGCATTTATTTCTATGTCTATGGAAACCATTTCATAATGGAATGGGTGCTTGCTTTGTTTTAACTATATCTGGGTCATCGTTATAGAATGGTTTTACTTACCCTTTTGGGGGGAGATGGGGATCATTTTGAAAGTTGTTACTTTGGAGAGGTTCATGATATTAGTAAATGTGTTATATACAGGTAATTCTTCATTTCTTTAGAGTGACTTATCTACAATCAAAAAATTTCAGTAAGGCAGATATCACACAGATGGTCAGAAATGCACCATTTCTGCTGAATTTTTCAGTGGAAAGACTGGATAACAGATTGGGATTTTTTCAGAAAGAACTTGAACTTAGTGTGAAGAAGGTAAAGAAAAGGGGAGAATTTGTATATTTCCACATCAGGTATACTTAATACTGCTAAATCGCCTGTTTCTAACAGATCCCAACCCCAATGTGAATCCTATAAATGCCTGGGAATAAATTACCCTTCTAAGTTAAACACAGCTGTATCATTTTATAATATTCCATCAAATTGGTTGTTCTGAATTTTGTTCTGTTGTTTTTGAATTTATTAATGAGAGACTGTTTTATAACTATAGACTAGAGATCTGGTAGTTCGTCTCCCAAGGTTACTAACTGGAAGTCTGGAACCTGTGAAAGAAAATATGAAGGTAGGAGATTTTAAGCTTTTGAGAACTTGCTTTTTTTTCTTTTAAGCGTTAATGTCCACTGCAGAGGATAGAGTTTGCTATTATAATCTTAAAGAAAACTATGTTGCTATGATGTTTCTTAAAAAATGAGTATAAGAAATAATATAATAAGTATCTAGCTGGCAGTTTATTTTAATCAATAATAATGACACGTGTTGGCAAGGTGTTAGGTCAGTAAGTCACCTGGCAAGCATTTGTGCCCATAGTACTAGAGTAAGAGATTGGTATCTGGGTGGTACCTGAAACCTGCTTTTGTTGCCCAGTTATGAGAGTCTGTGTCCATGACACATAGGCAGGAGATGATTTTTGGAGGCTGGATCCAAAAGAATCGAGCACACTATTCTCCTTAGTAACTGTGCCAATTGCTTGTCTAGTTGTGTCAGAACTCTTTTCTTCCATTCTGCCAAGAGAATAGTATGGAGCCAATGGCAGTTGACTAGTTGGTATACATAACTATAACAGTGTTTGAAATTACCAGAGAAGTTCTCTTTTCTCAGGTGCTCATTGCATTTTGTATTCAGTTGTTGAAGAAATTTTTGTTAAGCATGTACCAATATGCACTGTCCTGGTGAGTTAGTCCCTGCTCTCAGGGAGCATACATCTATCTAAGAGGGTGATAGCATCCAAAGTGGAAAGACTAGTGTATTAGTAGGTGAGAATAGGAACTAAGTGCATATAGCAAATCTAACCCACTTTTGGGTGTTCAGTTCTAGCACCTCTGGGACTATGACAACGTTTTTCAGATAACAGGTATACGTGGGAGTAGCGGCTCAAAAAATACTTTGGAAATCTTATTGCTGGTCTTTGTGGTATGGGGCCCATACAGATAACCTGGCCAGACCTCCCCTGCCCACCATCGTCCTAGCTTATTCTAATAGCCCCTTTTGTTGAGTTTCATGATGCTTACCAGTCTATGAGTGGCTCATTCTCAAGAAAGGGGTCTGAAATTCAGGTTACCCCACAAATAAGGATACTAATCCCTTGGGGCTTTGACAAAGCAATCTCCAGATTTCAGTGTTCTTGTTCTGAAAGGACCAGTGTGTCTTCTGGCATAGCACCAAAATAACTTTCTAATCACGATTCATAGCAGCTCTTCTTCCTTTTAGGTTTATCAGCTCGAACTAGGTTTTAAACGTAATGAAATCCAGCATATGATCACCAGAATCCCGAAGATATTAACTGTAAATAAAAGGAAACTTGCCGAGACTTTTGATTATGTGCACAGTGTGATGAGCATTCCCCACCACATCATTGCCCGGTGCCCTCAGGTAACGAGCGCGCGAGCCTCTCTGTGGTGCTGTTGCTGCCCTTCACTCAGACCTGCTCCCTCAGCATACATGCTGTTCCCTTGTGAAAACCCCTGGCTGTTTGTGCAGGAATTGGACTAAAGGCAGTGTAGACTGAACATGAATTAAGATTGTGTTTTGCTCATCTTTATAGCAGAAACACATCTGGCCAGAGGAGTAGGTAAATCACTTTGAAAAGCTTAACATCCTTCAGAGCACACATGTACATCTGAGGAGAAATAAATGATTATTTCCCTGCAGTTTTTGCCTTTTCCTGGTTTTGCCCTTTGACAAATTTAAATGTGCATTAGATTGCTATCCTCAAAGTTCCTTTATATGCTACATGCAATGTATTCACAGTCCAAGTCCATTCGTTAACAAGCCATATTGTAGTGACTTCCCAAAGTATAAAAGAGCTGTAGTTTGTTAGTATGTCAAAACTAATCAGACTTTCCCATGCTTTGCCTGTGACACTGTTGCTTGCTCACAAGAATGTTAAAGTGACGTTCTGGCCATGACCAGTATTTCCAGTATACTGGCCATAAAGCCAAGAGAAGAAATTGAGACAAAATCCTGAATGAGCTTCATAGGGGCCTAGGGTTACAAAATCTCCTCAGCTTTAGGGCTCTATTTCTAGTCTGACCAGACTAGAAGTTCTCCCTTCTCACAGCGGGCTGAGGGGATTTAGTCTGCTTCTGATCCCTTTTCAGAGTTGGTGCCGCTCACTCTACTTCTTGGTGTTTCAGTCCCAAGATTGGCAAGACATACTTTTTCTAGTCACTCCCCTAAGAATTCAGGTTCATTTCATTTTAATGCTAATCAAAGCAGTGGCAGCAGGAATTAAAAAATTGGGAAATTATAAAGTCTTGTTTAATATTTTCATCAGAAATTTCTAGTACAAACTGTATTTGTGGCATTTACCAGAGTTACTGGGCATTTGGTCAATAGTTTATATTTGTTAGCCTTGTAGTACTTTTAACCAATAAATAGTGTATCTTTCATACAAAATCAGTTTATAATTTTTTTTTCTTTTCTAGATATTTAACACAAGGTTGTTTAAAGTCAAAGAAAGACACTTGTTTCTTAATTATTTAGGAAGAGCACAGTATGATCCAGCAAAACCTAACTACATTTCTTTGGACAAATTAGTATCTGTGCCCGATGAAACATTCTGTGAGGAAATTGCCAAAGCCTCAGTAAAGGACTTTGAGAAATTTTTAAAAACTCTTTAGTTTTTGATGTTAAAATGTAATAAAGTGAATGTATATATGAATAAATGAATATATTTTTAAATAAATGACTCAGGTCTTTCTTGATATTTGAAATAATTGGTTATCATAAATTTGGGCATACTTTTAAGATCTCCTTCTTACATGTTCCCAGTGACTTGACTCAACCATTTCCTTCCTTCTCAGAAAAAAGAACTGCCAGCACAGCAAGCTTAGGGTAAGATAGTTACTGTAGCTAATGCATTGTCATTCTGGTAGATTTTCTGGCCCATATTCACAGGTCTTTTAAAGTGATTTCATCTCTCTTGGTGCATACAGTATTATTTATCTAATATCTGCTACTCACTTGGATAACACTATGAAACATTCCACTTCAGGTGTTGTTATCCAGAGCAGATACTCAACTGTTGTCCATAGCTGGCTACTGAGAATCAGGAAGGAAAAAAAACAGTTTGTAAGAAGTCAATGAGACAGTAAAAGGTCAAAACAAACCTGTGACTTCCTGCCAGTATGCAAAGATTTATAGCATAAATTGATACTGTTTTTTCCCACTTACCACTTAGGTAATCTTGGGTAAACAATTTAATCTGAGTTGATTGAGTTGTCAAATGAGGCATCCTGCCTTGTTCTCTGCCTTAGGATCACAAGCTTGATAGCATGTTAACACTGGTGGAACCACTCACATTTACTCCCCACCACAATCCGAGCCAATGGGATTTGATCGATAGGACATTATCAAACAAGCTTCATAAAGACTTGACTGTTGGGGCTTGTCATCTTGAAACATTTGCTCTTGGAATCCTGAGCCACTAGGTAGATAGGTCTGGTGATAATACTGAAGAAATGAGGTGGAGACAGATGCCTGGACAAACCTCAGCCATGACCCTGAGCACCGGGCATGTGAGTGAAGATACTACCTTGGATATTCCAGCCTCAGCAGGTAACACATGAAGCAGAATTACTCAGATGAATTAAGAATTGAGAGAAATAGTGTTTTAAATTACAAACATTGGGGGTGTGTGAGGGAGGGGATCATTTGTTGTGTACCAGGGCTTTGTGATATATCAAATGTCCTGATGTCCTCAGCCTGGTGAGATTTTACATTCAAGTTGTGCAGGGCCAATTGTAGTGGCTTTTCTATTAGGTGTTTTATTCACTTGCTCAGCAGACATTTGAGTTTGTAGAACATAGTGGTAAAAGTACAACAGATACGTGCCTTCATGGAATTCTTTAATAAATGAGCTCAAAAAGCAGGAAGCAACAAGGAAGATACAGCCAGGACAAAGGATAAACAGTCCTACCTGATCTATATTCAGAACCTCATTTTGCCTTTACAGTGTACTCATACCAATGAGACTGGCTGAGTGGGACGGCACTAAAATGACCTGATTTAAACCAAAGTAATTCATCATACCTGTCTAGCTTGGTGTCCAAAATGTTCCACATCTATAGCGATACTTCAAGTCTGGAGTATAGGCCTGTCTGTGGAAGGGAAAAGAAATTTAGAGAATCACTTTTTTTTTTTTTTAAAGAACTGGGGTACACACCAGAGGTGTGGGGGTGGGGGAGTGACAGGACTCACCAGAGACAGAGTAGGGAACCTAACAGGCTTACTGTCAGTAAGCCTTAAAACATGCTGCTGAAGGGAACAGCAGGCAGGGCAGGAGAGGTCTGCCACACCATGTAGGTCACCCCCGTGCCCCGGGGTCGAATGCATGCTGCAGTGGCTGAGGATAACTCCATAGTCCTGTACCACCAGGTAGGGCCCAAGAATCGCTCTTACCACATTTTTCTTGGCTAAAATGTCACATGGGCACACCCAGGTTTAAGGTGATAGAGATATATAATCTTACTATTGATATCTAATGTAGTAGGAGGGAAAAAAATTCTGTATCAACACCAATGTTACCAGCAAACACTCAGGTTTCACAGACTTAATGCCTGTGGGAGCTGGTTTTGTGACAGACTTGCCACCTTCTCATTCTATAACTAGCAAGTTGAAGCTTAAAGGCTAAAAAGGAAAGAAGAGTTTATTGATTATGTCTTGGAAAGCAATGTGCTAGTGTACAAATATTACTTCCAGATTTCACTTTGTAGCAAATTACCATTCTCCAGTGGCTTTGTATTCTGGGTGTTTCGGTGCAGTGCTTTATCCAGGACTGAGTAATATGAGAAAATGGCACAGAGAAAAAAAATGCAGAAGCAATAATACTTTAGAACTGGATTGTAAGACCACTTATGAATTTACAATAAAATAGAGTTATATGTTGTCTCAGGTCTCAGCTGAAAGCTAAAGAAAAAAGAGTTAGATACTGGTGGGGAGTTACTATGGATTCAATTGTGTATCCCACTCCTCACCCCCAAATTCTAAGTAACCCTAATCCCAATGTGATGGTATTTGGAGAAGACTAACTAGGTTTAGACCAGTGCATGTGAGGGGGAGGATCCTCATGATAGGATTAGTAAATTTACAATTCACTCGAGCTTTTTCTCTCTGCCATGAGGACACAGCTGAATAGCTAACTTTCTATAATCCAGAGATCTCTCAACTAAAAGTTCACACCAGCACCTTGAGCTTGGGCTTTTGGCCTCCAGACTAAGAAAATAAGCTTCTAATTAAGCCACTAGAGAATGGTAATTTGCTAAAGCAGCCTGAGTCGAATAAGACAGCAACTGTTTTAGAAGCTGACCAGTAATGGAATCATTCAAACTAGTTTTCCCAGCTGTTTTTTTTTTTTTTTGTCCCTATAAGATTTATTTATTTATACATACAAGAACTGGGGTGTAGGCCAGAAGTATGTCAGGGGAGATAGGGGTGAGAAGATTCACCAGAGAGGGAGTGAGGAGCTAAACAGGTGGATCTACTGAAATACACTACTGAGGAGGGCAGTGGGTAAGATAGGAGAGATCTGCTGTCATGTGGGTCAGCTCCCTGGCCAGGGATCAAACTTGTGCTGCAGTGGCTGCCAATAACTTCATAGCACTGAGACTCAACCCCTTGTGCTACGAGGGAGGCCCTGCTCCTATATTTGTAAGCCTAGATATGATGTGATGGTGCCGAACCTTAGAAGTGTACTTGATTCTACCTTAAAGTTGCAAGCAAACTCTGCCATACATGTTATGTAACAGGGTGGTCCCAAGGAAAAGGGGAAGTTCCAGGTTCCCTGCCCCACCCAGAAGGAGGGTGAAAGAGAGCAGAGAAGGAATCTGAAGAAGAAAGCAGGATGGAGAGCCAGGAGACCTGAGGAAGCCCCATGGAGCAGAGAGAGAGATGTGAAGAAACCATGCTGATTTCTTGGCCCTTGGCTGGTTGAAACAAATGTGGGTGAGACACCAGTGGGGAGGTTGACTATGGCAGCCTTTATCTTAATTTTAATTTTGCTCTTTTCCTCCCAGACTCGTCTGGCCATTTCTGACCCTTTTCTATGGGTCCTTGCCAGAAAGTGCTTTAGGCTTGTGGCAGGCTTTCAGGGCTTGCTTTGGGCCCATCCCTTTTGGGTAGACTTTTACCTGAGGTGACTTTAGGTGTTTGATTTAGAGAATATATTCGTCTTTTCTGTATTGTATACTAATTGTATTAAAGTTCCTTTCCATTTAAAGCTCTTATGTCTTGTCCTGATGCGCCGGATGACAGAACCTATTTAGAGCAGACAGGTTTGGGGGGTTCAGGGGTGCCCCTCGCTCCCTACCCTGTGGCAGATTTCATATTTTTTCCTAACATACCCCAAAGTGATGTGACCAGAGGTGTTTAGTAGTGTATTACATTTCTCCATAAGTAACGAGCCCAAAAGTTTTATCTGAATTCTCAGATTCTGGAGGATGAAATCTGTATTACTCCTGTATTTGTCTTTGTACAGTTTATCCAAACTTTTCTGAGTCTCCATTTCTCCCCTCTACAAAGGAGACAATCAAAATATTTTCCTTGGAGATTTATAATTAAAGGAAAATATGCCTGTAATACAATTAATTACTTGACACAATTAATACTCCCCAGACACACAGCTAGCTTAGCAGCAGCAAAGCCCTGCAGCTTAAAGGCCCTGATCTCCGATTCCAAATCCAGCGTCCTTCCCATTGGTTAGAACCACGCGGGGAGGAGCTAACGGCAGGTGACCGAAAAAAGAGCATCAGAACTGCGCGTGCGCGGGCAGACCTCCCAGCCTCCAGACGCAGCGTAAGGCGCCTGCGCGATGGGGTCAGCGCGTCCTCCAGGACTTACCCAGTAGGCAACGCGTCTGTCTCGGGTCAAAATGGCGAGCAGGCCAGCTGGTAAGTGGCTTGTTTTCTGTATGATGGGGATCGGGAGTCTCAACCTCTTGTTCTCTAAGCAATTTGGTCCTCTTCCTCGGTCCTCCGAGTGGCCCGGTTCGCAGCCTACGGAAAGTGGTAGCTCCGGTGCAGCCTAGAAGACGATCTAGCCCCCCCACCCTCCTGCTGCCCCCAGATCGGGTTCGCCTAGTGGGTTGCGATGTGGACCGGCTGTTGGTGAAGGTGTCCGTTTGGCTCCGACATCCCAGGCGTTCTGCTGCCGGTGCTCGGAAGCTCTTTTCCTCGGTCTCCGAGAACTCAAGGGCACAAGAGTCAATGACTTTCAACCAGAAAGAACCGAGAGTTTATTGGAGCCAAGATTTAACGCGAACATTAGCTCGGATTCCGCCGAGTCCGACGAGGGAGCTCTTATTTCCCTTTCGTGCTAGGATAACAGAGGCGAAGTGACCGGAGAAAGGAGAATCGGAAACCTCATTTCAACCCTCGCGCTTCACAGACCGGGAAATAGCGCTAAGCAAGGGTTACAGCGAAGTTTCAGTTTAACTTTGGCTGATCCAGAACGTCAGCTTGATCTGTAGGTTTGGAGAAATTGATATTTAAGTTGTAGGGCATCATGACAAACACATTATGGAACGATAGAAAAATTAACAGTATGTCTAAAACAGCGTGAACTGCCTTTTCCCCTTGCCAGTATCCGTCCTCTAGCGGTTTAAATTGGAATAGCTTTTAAAAGATAATTGCTTCTCTTCTCCCCACCCTCAGCAATGGTGACATCACGTAACCAGAAAACCTAAAGACCTGAGACTGAAGCGTTAACTTAAGTGACATCGAGCATTTGGAGATTGGAGAGACATTTAAGAATTTTATTAGTTCGTAAATTTGACAAATGTCGAGATTTTCCGCTTCTGTGCAGTGTCAGGAAACCGATCAGGTCTTAACCCTTTCACTAGCTGGCTCTTACTTGAGTACTTGAAAAGGATAATTCCTGATGGTTTATGCTTATGCAGTGATAGGAGTGTTGGGGTAGGGCGGGGGAGGATACCAGCTAATGTAGGTAAAGCAAATAAGAGGTAATGTTTGGTACACTGTAAGTGGTCAGTGAATACTAACCTTGATCATCATCACGGGTAAATATGTTTACGATTAAGTTGTCAACAACAAGTATGTGTGTTGATTCTTTGGTACTTGTTTTTCTAAAAACAGCTTTATACTTAGTGTTGAATTCCCAAGGAGATTTACCAAAGCCATGTAATCTGTAATGAACTAAGGAGCAGGGGATAGTGTGGGAAAAGGGAGTTTGATTTAGTTGTTAAGGGACAGAACTTTAAAGGAAAATTTAAACTTGTTCCACCTTCCCTCTATACTACATTTCTCCTATAAAGGCCAGGCACTAACTGTTGTATTGCGCTTAGCTCCTATTGGGTTAACCTAGGCACTCATCTTCTCAGTTTTAACCTCACCTATTTCTACACCCACTATCATATCCATTCTGTCGATGGGTTAGCAACTTGGGAGGAGGAAAATGGGCTTCTTTTATAACTCATGTTAACTTTGTTAACTATTATCACAATTTTACTAGAAATGAGTATTTTTTTAATATTTTTTATAAATTTTCTTACATCATTCTTCATTTTGTGCATTTTTTCGTCTCAGTTGTAATCCCTGTGGGCTTCCCACCACCAGTTCACCTGTGTGCCATCACCACAGTCCACTGCGCTCTTCCACCCCATTTCTGATCCCATTCCCCCTCCCACCCCACATAAAATGTCTTTGGTTTATAGTTGGTCATTGTTTTCATTTTTACTCTGCTACATATGTTTGTCTCTCTTTTTTCTGATCCCTCATGCTCCTGCTATTACTGAAACCATCTGGTATTTTTCTTTTTCTTTCTGGCTTATCTCACTAAACATGATCCCTTCCATCTCCATCCATGAATATAATTTTAAAGAGAGTTGCTCAGTGAAATAAAGGTAATATAGAATAAAAATTTTGAGGATGAGTGTCATTTAGACTTACTTGAAGTCTTACCTTTTCATACAACTTTAACTGCCTTTAGAAGTTTAGTTATTTCCTATAATCTGTGAAACTAGGAGTGACAAGTGTTCTGAGTTCCTTTCCCATTTTCTACCCCTCTAGTTCTGATGGTAGCAGGGAAACATGAAGAGATAGCAGGTTTGTCATTAAAAGGTTAAGGTGATGATAATTCTTTCTGTAGGTCTTTTGTACATTAACATTTTTCCCATGGCTGTGTTAGTTTTACTCATAGATAAAATTTTATCTACAATATTTAGAGTGCATTATGCTTTTAACAGGGGTTCCCTTTCTACGTTTGCATTCTCTAACAAGATGACTTAAAGTACTGTTACCATGGCTGTCGACCTGTTTATATAGTGTAAGAGAATTATAGCTACTAACAGTGTTTCAATGTCAGTTTCAGCATCAGGCAGGTGGCTGGAGGGTATTCGAAAATGGTATTACAATGCTGCAGGATTCAATAAACTGGGTGAGTGTCTGTGCTTTTGTTTTTATTTTTCTGAGAGTTGAGCTTTTGCAAGTAATTTTGGTTGCAAATGATACTTCAGTTGTACCTATGTTCATGAAGAGATTTTAGAAATAGGTCATACATTTTATTATTGAATGTATTCCCTTTACAGTATTTTGAGAAAAGAGAAATGAAATTCTTAAATGTTTGAGGTGAAAATGATTTATGTCTTAAATATTGTGACCATCAATCTCCTTATGTGTTTCTTCCACTTAGCATTGTAAATTTTAAGATATATGAAGTTTGAAAGTAGAACTTTTTCAAATGTTAAAACAGTCTGACATCTTTACAGTCATTTGATGCTTGAACTTTTTTTTACAAATTATAATTTGCCATAACCTTTTATTTTTTGTTATTGAAGCTAGCTAGAAGCTTTGTTGAATGTTACTGGTCCATTAATACACTGTTTTAAAATTCTCTATTACCTTGATCTCACATTTAAAGCATAAGAAAATAGAGGGGTGGTTTGTTGATGTGTGTTTGAAAAAAGACATATCAGTAAATACTTTTAAATATTGTAAAAAATGTTTTATATAAAAATGTGAATTTGTGGCAGTAGATTTTAAGACTCATACATTACTTCCACAATACTGTTTAAGAAACAACCCATTAAATAGCCATCATTATGTATGAAATACACTCTGTCATATCGAACTCTGATACTTTGCCCATATCTTATAAGATAGTTTACTCATTTAAAAAAATGTTAAGATGTATATTCATTCTAACTCTCTTGTTTTCTATCATAGGGTTAATGCGAGATGATACAATATATGAAGATGATGATGTAAAAGAAGCCATAAAAAGACTTCCTGAAAAACTTTATAATGACAGGATGTTTCGCATTAAGAGAGCTCTGGACCTGACCGTCAGGCACCAGATCTTGCCTAAAGAGCAGTGGACAAAATACGAGGAGGTGGCCTAGCTTTTATGGGACTCATACCCTTGGCGGTTAAAAGTTTAGTATAGAAAGAGACATATTCATGATTTAGTACTTTAGAGTTCTTAAAGTTCTGTCAAATAAATATCCTTATAGAATTCACTATGATTAATAGACAAAAGTCAGCTCTGTTTTATGGAGAAACACATTGAGACGTAAGAGGTGAAACTTGTGTTTTCCAGATCACTAAGCAGGTCTCAGATGGTGACCCAAAACTAACATCCACATCTCAGGCTGCTGTTTTTCTGCTTCTGCACTGCTTCCTGACCAGATGAAAAGTTGTGCTGGTTTTCCTGGGAGCAGCCCTTTGACTGGCCCTCTGGCTCCCATGAAGGACTCTGCGAAGCAAGCAAACCCTTGTCCCTTGAGCTGCAGTGAAACTAGACATAGGCATTAGACTTTCCTTTTCTCTGGCAGACTTTGCTCTCACAACATATCAAAGCAACTTATTGACAGTACCTATATTTTAGAAAAGCCGACTCATTTTAGTCAGCTTGAGAATGCATTTTCTTAGTTGGAAATAAAAACAGGTTTTGATGAGTTTTATTAATGGTTAGTAAGCATTTGGTCAGTATGTGATGGTGGCCTATAATATTTGTATTTTTTCATTCTTTAGGATAAATTCTACCTTGAACCATACCTGAAGGAGGTTATTCGGGAAAGAAGAGAGAGAGAAGAATGGGCAAAGAAATAATCATGTGGTCAAAATGTGGCTGCAGCTGCCCGCAGAGGATTTTTATGAAGTTCGTTAAACCTGAAATGTACAATTTAGAACTTAATCTGAGTTGCATATGTATTACTTTAAATAAATATCTATCATATTGGTTGGATTTCTTTTTTAATTCTAAACCTTATTCTGAATAACTACTAAATTCACCTGTCAATTCTCAGGATGTCTAAGTTTTTTTTTTTGTTTGTTTGTTTTTAAAGATTTATTTATTTATGCATACAGAACTGGGATACAGGCCAGAGGTGCAGGAGCGGCGAGGCTTCACCAGAGTCAGAGTGGGGAGCAGAACAGGCAGATCAACGAAGTACACTGCTGAGGGGAGCAGCGGGCGGGTCAGGAGAGGTCTGCCACGCCATGTGGTCTCCTCGGGACAGGCGGGAATCGAACTCATGCAGAAGTGGCTTTAGCTTCTCAGTGCTATGCTTTAACCCGCTGTGCCACCAGGGAGGGCCATGTCTAAGGTATTTTTTTTATTGTTTAACAGCCTCTTAGAGCTCAGCAAGGCCACTTCAGTAATTTTTCCTCTCTAGTTGGATAACTGTCCTTTATAATATCTTTGCAGATTAGCATGATACTTAGGGTCTATCTTTCATGGATACAGGAAAGCACCTGTGACTTAATTTTACCTAATGCAAGTAACAGTTGGCTGCCCGACTTAGACGAAGGTGCCAACGAAAGGAGAGAAGACTGATTCACCCCTAGTATGCCAGGATTGGAGTATGGCCCTTTTCAATCATTGCTCCAAATAGATTTGGTTTGCCATCTTAGCTTTTTTAGAACAAATGTATGCAACCCCAGGTGGATCTGCATAAATTGTGTCATTGTGCTAATATATATATTAGAAAACAATATACACTGAAAAACAAAGACAAATGTTACTTTACCCCCATATCTCAGTGACTTCTACTTTGAAAATTATTGCTGTGAAGCTTATTATAAGGGTTGGATATAGCAATATTCAAAATTTAAAGGTTATAGGCTAATTTCTAATACATAAGTTAGAACCATTGACTCATGGCATCATCCCCACCCCTAAGTCCTACAATGCTGTTTTTGGTGGACATGAGCATGAACAACAGCAAATAGAAAGGAGAATTTGCATTGAGGGTGTGCTGCAGGCCACTGCAGTGTATTGTAGGAATGTGTGACTAGGAGCTTAGCTTGAACAAAACTGAAAACAATTTTTTTGTGACATTTAAAATTCCTAAAACAGATTTGGTATAATTTTCACAAAATAATGGTTGACATTTGTGTATCATTTTCACAACTTAAATATTAAAGCATACTTAAAGATTTTTGATAAAATATTAGCCTCCTTAAGAGCCTTTTTGATATTCAGGTTTTCTGTGAAGCCTCTCGAAATTCATGTTAGGTTTTTGACATCAAAGTTGCTTAGATCCGGCCCTCCCTGGTGGCGCAATGGGTTAAAGCACAGCACTAGAACGCTAAAGCCACTTCTGCATGAGTTTGATCCCCGCCCACCCCGGAGGTGACCCACATGGCGCTGTGGCAGACCTCTCCTGACCCTCCCGCTGCTCCCCTCGGCTGCTTCGTCAATCTACCTGTTCTGTGCCCCACTCTGTCTCTGGTGAATCTTTTCACATGCCCTTGCACCTCTGGCCTGTACCCCAGTTCTGTGTAAATAATTGCCTCCATCCTCCATTAAGAATGGCTCCGGTCATAATTAAAGCAGCTTTTACTTAGTATTTTGTAGTTAGTGATTTGGCTTTGTAATCAACTTGAATTATGTTGTTGGAATAGTTAGAAACCAAAGAAACACGTAGGTATATAAAGGGTGTTTTTTGTAAGGGACTATTTGTGTAAGGGCCAGTTAATGAGTAAACACTTTTGTTTCAATATGCTTCCCTGTCAAACCCAACTAGATAACAAATTCTCAACCAAGGACTGCCCCTGTATTTAAGTGTTCCAGTTCTGTCCTTGGGTTTTTCAAGTAAATTTGAATTTCATATGTTGTTTATTGATTTTATATTCATATCACCCATTTGGATAACATTTTATCAGTATAGAAGACCTGCAAATAATTTTAAATTTCAGTAACAGACACCATGTATTACCTAGATGACATTTTTCAATCGATGTGAAATACCGTAATGAGTTCACTAGTATTATTACTCCTTCACAAACGAGGCTGAGTTTTACAGAGGTCAAGCAAAGTGTCCAAGAGCATGTATCCACAGAAATAGACTGCAGAGTTGCTTGTAAAATTGGAAAGGTGAGCTTTCTGTAAACTTTGATACTAAGATGTCATAAGTAAGGAAAAAGTATATTTACATAGGTAGTTTTAAAACTTGTAAGCTTTTTTCAGTATTGCAGTTAAGCAAAAAATGAGGCTGTAACTAGATAAATTTCTCAACTCTTCATTAAAGACTGAGAAACACTGAAATGGCAGCAGTGATCTTTCAGTGAGTAATGGTGATCTTGATGCTTTTTCCTATCATCTTTTTATAATTGAGTAGTAACCACCTTTATTATAGAAATGGCAATAGCAGGTATGTTTTCATTCCAAGCCGTAGGTCATAAGACCTCTGGTCTAGCACTAGCGGCCTGTTGCAGAGGCTCTTGTGTGTGGAGTAGTAGCTCGCGATAACATGAAATCCTCGTCCTAAATCATTTGCAGACTGAAAAACGATGTGGGAGCTGAAGAGTGTAGCCTGTGCCCTGTGTTCCCACATGACCAGTGCATTCCCAAGCACAGTGAGGACTGAAGTCCACCGAGGGGCGATCAAGTCTCCCTGGAGTTTTGTGAGAAAAAGATTAGGTCACAGGTCAAGAAGATTTCAATGTAGGCTGTTTGACAGAAGGAGGCTGAGAAGAGGGATTGTCCAGAACCCCTGTTTTTTAAATCCTATGCATGCTCAAAACATTTCCCTGACAAAGACTCTCCAGATGCTCTTTTAATTGTGAGTTCAGGATCACTTTTGCAGGACTCTGGTTTCATTCAACCAGACAGCTGATGTTCATCTTTACAAGGAGACCAGAACTGAGGCATTTCGGACCAGAGTGCTACAAGGTGTGAGGGCAGCAACGGGAAGCTGGAACGTGAGTCTAGATGCCATCTTATAGATGCTGCCATCTTGAGAACAAGCCTGAGGGCACCACTGAAGGGTAGGGGCACAACCACCTGCCCAAGACTGATTGGTAACAGGAAGAAGACATTGGTGCAGCTGCCTGTGGCAGGCTGTGGGGCAACTTCTGATTTTGTGAGAGTTCTTCCTGCAGCCAAACTACACTGGTCCTACATCACTCATTGCTTCCTTGTTCTAAGTTGGAAAAAGGCTGCAAATGTTCTTTGAAAACCATGGAACGTTATATCCATGTTTTAATTATTGGCATTGTCCTACTAGCAAAGAATATAAAGAATAACACGAAATACAACTAGTATTTGTCCTATTGAGAGAGTAGGTAAAAGGGTAAGAATTTTGCTAACTCATCAGTGAAATCCTTTCATTTGATGAGAGGCCTCCCCTGTTATTGAAAACAGTATTTGAAAAGTCAACTGAGTGTCTGAAACAGACCCCTCACTCCCTACACGGAAGGAGAGAGTCGATTCTGGCTTATACCGCTCAGATCTACATCCATTCATTCATTGAGTTACTTTAGGTAAGCCATTTAACCTATGATACCTCCATTTCCTCATTTCTAAAATGGAGCTGATGATAGACCTTCCTTTATAGGACCATTGAAAATTAATAATGGATAAAAATTAACTGCTTTCATTGTATGTCAAATTGCAAAAATAGTTCTGGCACACAGTACACACTGTAGCTTCTTCACATGAATAAAAGGGACAATAAATGTTCTGAGGAATTGCTGAATATCATTCAGTCTAATAGCCAAGTAGATGTGGTCAGTTTCCCTTTATCTCCAATAAGGCACTCTCATTTCTGGTCAGTCTGACTGGGATGTCTGGCCTCCTTGGATGAAGCCTTTACCTGAGAGGAGTGGGTGACTCAGCTCTATATGGTGGCTTGATGACAAAGGAGACCAGGTTAGGCTTTACTGTCTTCTTGTTTTGCCTTTTAGATTGGTGATGTTTTTGTAAACTTCCAGCCTTTTATGTCCTACTGATTTTCTTTGTACAAAATGCTTGATAGCTTTTAATGTTTAATGTTGAAGTAGGTTTTGCGTATAGGTTTCCTAGATCTTGAAGGACTTGCTGACTCTGAAAAGGTCTCCTTCCTGTTTTTCAGGCCTTTGCAGAATTGTGAAAATTGCAAACAGCAGCTGGCTTATGTTCACTTATGCCCATATTGATGTTATTGAGGTATAGGAAGCAGAGTAAGGGATCTTAGGCCCTCAGACCTCCAAATGCTGACTGTGATCCCAATCCCAAATGGCACAGAAATATTTGAGAATAGTTCCAAAATGAGTTCTCATGACCTAAGTATTCACAGGATGCTCTATAAACGCTATCAGAATGCTGGTGAAGGAATCTTCATGAATAGCACTATTGCCTGTTTTCAAAATCTAGACTAGTATAAAATCCAAAGTGTCATTTTTGGTAATGTATCTAGATGTTCACTTCACAGCATTAACTCTGCACTAATTCTGTCTTGTTACAAGATTCATCAATAAGAATAAAAACTGGACCAAATCCCAGAGTTCCTATAGTCATAAAAACCCTTTATTCACAAACAGGATGGTGTTAGTAACATCATTCTGAGTGTGGCTTTGAAAATAACTGATGCACTTGGAATTTAAAAAGTTAGGAGGACATAAAAACTGTATTCGCTAAAAAAAAAAAAAAAGGAAGCAAAAACTGTACTTGCTAAATTCTTGACCGCCTGGTAGGTAAAGTACAAATAGGTTTACACTGCATGGGAAGCATTAAGTTAGGGACTTCTGTATCAAATTAGAGTATAGTTGAGGGGCGAGATACCTGACTCTGGAAAACAGGGAAAAAAAATCCCTTTATTGGAATAAATACTAAATTTCACCACTAGGTGGCAATGCACTACAACTTTACAACTTAAAAGGTGCCCCCAATCCGACGCCATTGAAGATTTATCCATCCTGTACCCCCACTCACTCACTCCCCTTCATTTTTCAGAATGACAACACCTTAGAGGTTTA